AAGCACTAAATAAACGAGTGTGCATGTGAGTAGTCGCATTCTATTCTTCCAACGTCCTAACAGAAAATATTCAAGGTTGTCTTTTTTTTTTTATTTTTTTTTTATTTTAAATAATGTGAACCCACGGCCATTATTCTTCTTACTGTTATTTTTCGAGTATGTTCTGAATAAATTTTTTATCGAATTTAATAATTTGTAAATTAGGTTCGACAAAGCAAGTCATACTAAAAGAACCATGTGTAACGCTTATGAATCTATCCCCACGCTACTAAGTCTTACAGTAATATTTATATATATAAAGGTATTGCTTTTTTTTTTTTTTTTTTTCACTTGATATAAAAAGTTATTTTCATTTTTGTTAGTAAAAATATTCTACTTTTGTTCTTTTTTTTCCTATAAAACAAATAATTTTCTCCATTTTTATTAAAATTTATGTCTAATTATATCAACATAATTATAATTGAACTATCAATAATGTTTATACTCCCTCTGTCCCGGATAATATGGACGTATTAACGTAGATACGAGAATTTAGGTAAAGTATAATTAGTAACTAATTAAGAAATGTATTAATAAAAATAATTAATATATCAAAAATAATTATAAATTAAGATTAAGATAACTAAATAGTTTAATTAAAATTAAAAAAATTATAAATTTTAAAATATGATTAAAATATATAATTAATTTTTCAAAAAAAGAAAACAAATTATGTGGGATGAACAAAAATATAAATTATGAATAAATTATATGGGACGGAGAAAGTATATATTAACGTTATTGTTTTTTTTTTTTTTTGATTTGTTATTAAAAAAATAATAATAATAAACTGTTTTATTTTTTTTTAGTAAAAAAAAGTATAACTTTTATTCTTTTTTATTATAAGAAAATAATTGTTTTTATCAACTTTCATTAACTTATGTTTAATTATATGAATATAATTTTTAACGACTGAAGAGTTTTTTTACCTAATTTTTTTTTTAACATAATTTTCAATATATATTTTATTATTTCATAAAAAATTAACATAAAATAAAATATTATTTTTAATATTACCTATATTTATTCCTATACACAAACGAACTCTAAAACTTTAATATATCACCTAAATTTGGCCAAAAAATAATTGAATGGGAGTTAAAATAATGACACGGAAGCACATTGCAGCTGCACACATGGTGTAATAATTGTTCTCTTGTCTGATCCACCCAACATTTTTGGGTGTGTTTGGTTGTCAATTCAGTTTATGGATTATATTACTTCCATTTACATTTATCGTGTCTATCTTTTTATTTTTATTTATCCATTTTATTTATTATTCTTTTTTGGAAAAAGATAATGCACTTTAAATTTATTTTAAATTTTCTAATTTATAATTTATTTTTTAATTTTAATTAAATTAATTAATTATTTTAATTTTAATTTAAAATTATTTTTATTATTTATAATTATTTGCATTAATATATTTTTAATTACTTACTAATTGTATCCTACTAAATTATAGTGTCGACCGTAAAGGAGACACGATAGTCAGGACAGAAGGAGTATATTCTTAAGTATTTCTTAAAAAAAAAAAAATCAAAGTAATTATTTTTTGTTTTTATGGGATTAATTTATATTTTCTTGTCTATTATTTCTATTTTTAACCGTCTGATCTTATTTGTCTTTTTCCTGTCAAAAAATATAATTATAAATTTTAATTATATTTTAAATTTTATAATTTTTTAAATTTTAATCATATTATTAAGTTATTTTTATTTAAATTTATAAATATAATATATGTGGTAAATAAATATGGAATATAAATAATAATTAAATATTAATTTATTAATTTTATCAAAATTAATAATTTTATCCAATCCACTATTCATCCCATTTTTTTTCCCCAAAAACATCAAATCAAACACTTTGTTTTTCATTTTTTATATTATACTAAAAATTAATTTTACATTCAAAACATCACAACACCTATTTATATCACATCATACAGTTATTCAAATTCAAATTTTTTACTATTCAAATCTCAATTCAAAATCCAAATCTCAGACAAACACACCCTTACAAACAGAATAAAAACATCAATAGATAATTTTTTTACGAACGAAGTAAAGTTTAGGGTGTGTTTGTTTGGAGGATTGTATTAGATTTTCACTATTCATCCTATTTTTTCCCAAAAAACATCAAATCAACACTTATTTTTTATTTTTTATATTATACTAAAAATCAATTTTACATTCAAAATATCACATCAACACCTATTTATATCACATCATACAATTATTGAAATTCAAAATTTTTACTATTCAAATCTCAATTCAAAATCCAAACCCGGACAAACATACCCTAATAAGAAAACAATACCTCATGTATGAATTATGCCACCATGACATCAATAGAGAAAGCATAATCAAAAAACTTTTATTTTTATATATATATACATTTATATGTGTGTGTGTTTTTTTAAAAAAAAAGGTCAAAATTGAATGATTAGGGAGGGGAAGTATGACTCTGTTGAGGGATTTTGTGCCAGCTATGGATTTGGTCCGACAACCTCGAAATAAGCGAAGAATTAGAGGATGCCACGTATTGGATCCTATTATACATACCTACACAAGTCTAGGGTTTATTTGTTTACTGTTTTGAATTGATTTTTTTTTTTTTTTAATGTAATGTGTTAAAAATTTTGTCCATAATATAAAAATAATATTCTCCCGTCTCATAATAAAATATCTATTTTTTCATTTTAATCCGTTTCATAACAAAGTATTCATTTTTTAAACTGTATTATCTACCTAACATTACAAATACCCTTACAACTTACAATATATTACACAAATGACATACATTTATATCACACATACTAATAAGGTTATTTTAGTTATTTCTACTTTATTCCTACTATATTGCAATATAATACTAATATTTCTAAAACTACGTGCAAAAAGCAAATGGATATTTACTTTTGAGACGGATAAAATATTTTACGTTGAATATTAATTTTTATGAGAAGATAAATATATATATTAAAAATTATGTCGAGAAAAAATATTGGACAAACCAACCCTATAAAACCTTTTATGTATTTGTGCACATTTAACACTTTATTTGGGATTGAATTTAAATATTTACGGCTATGGATTCTACTCGGATCCGGATCTGATTTAAATCCGTATTAATATATTAATTATATATAATAATAATAATAATTTATAATTGTTGAACATTAGGGTTTGAGCGGGAAGGATAAATGAATGGGCCAGTGGCGATCCAGTGGTGGCCAGAGTCATTTGGATAAATGGTTGTTAGGGCCAAGCTAGTCGTACGGTTGACACAGTTGACTTTACAGATAGTTTTCATCCGAGTTTGGGCTCTGAGGCGGTTGATTACAAAGGTAACCGACGATGACGCAATTTTTGGACGGTTCAGAACCGATGTGGAAACAGTTTTTGGACGGTTTTTAATCGACGTGGAAACAGTTTTTTTACAATTTAGATCAGTAAGCGACAAGAAAATGGTTTCAGATGGTTGACGTGAAGGCAGTTTTTTTACGGTTCAGATCAATAACCGATAAGGAAGCGGTTTCGGACGGTTTAGATCGGTAACCGACAAGAAAGCGATTTCGAACGGTTCAAATTGGTAAGCGATAAGAAAGTGATTTCGAACGGTTTAGTTTGGTACATATATAAGGAGTCCCAATAAGAAAAGATTGACATCTTCAATCGACATTAATTTAAGATAAATTTTCGTTGGAGATCATCATTTTGGTTTTCGAGTTATGCTTTTCAACTTTCTTCTTTTTTTTGTTTAGCAATATTATGTACTACATATCTAGGGATTCGTAATCTCAAACACTTTTTACTCAAATTCGAAATATTTTTTCGAATTTTATTTTTTATTGTTAAACTTTTCATTGGGAATCTCACACTTTTTAATTTTTTAATTTATATTTATTTTTATTATACGATAATTATTTTAACTAATATATTTTTAATTATTCACTTATTATACTTAATCTAAATTTTGGTGTCTAGGATAAAATGGACATAATAACTTTTTGTATTTTTTATTACAAAAACATTATTATTATTTATTTTTATTATAACTCAATCTTATAGGTATAAATTTTGACGAAGGGGGAGTAATATTTTAAATAAAAATATATAAAAAGGTTTAAGTGTATTATATTCATATTTTTAAGTAACTAAAGTAAAAATGCAGTTGATCTACGGTATTTTTATTCTAACCATAAACTTCAATTTTTACTTTAAAAAAATATAATTTCTATATATTCGTCTTTTATATTATTTTATAACTTTTCATATTAATAAATTACACTTCAACTTTAATTTATTTTTACATTATAATCAATACATATATAATTTATATTTTTAAAATTAAAATTATATATCACTTAAAAAAATTATACATTATTTAAAAAAACAATATTTTATATCACTCTCCCAAAAATAAAATTATATACTATTTTTTTTATATAAAATACATTGTCACTTTTTAAAAATAAAATTATATATCATTTTTTTTAAAAAAAAGAAAATTACATAATATATCCCAAAAATTATCAAAATAAATACCACAAAAACTCAATAATACATAAATGTAGTGAGTTGGAGAAAACATTGATTTTAATTTTTAGTTGTCCTTGCGTTCAAATTCTTACATATTTATAATACAGACATTAAAAGGCTTGTCAGATGGACAAGGCCCAAGAATCATACCCATCAAAGACCTACCACTCCATTTCGAGATGGGCTGCTACTACCCACCCCTCGATTTTTTCTTGAGCTTTGAAAACATTCGTTAATGGAGGACATTCTGGATTCAATTCTAATCTTTTGGGTCGAAAATATTCTTCTTGAAATTGGATTTGGCCTACCTCATGAGTATTTCCCCAAAAAAAATATCATTTTTATTTGTTTCTTTTTGTATTTCAAATTCGATAATATATATATATATATATATGTAATTGTATTGCAGGGCTTCAATCGAATTAAAAATGGCGTCAATTTTTGCATCCAATATACCCAATATTCGTTGGTTGAACGGCGAACCCATTTCGACTAACCTAAAACTTCACCCTACTTCACTCTCCTTTCCGCGCTGCGATTCCAATGCCCGATTGTGCGCGGTTAAGACTGGCTCAGGCGGGGGCGGCGCCGTCCGGAACAGCCGGGACCCGCCGTCGAACGGGGCGGAATTGCTGCGGAAGCCGGCGGCGTCGTCTCCCTCCGCCGCCGAGGAGAGTGAGAGTAAGGCCAGAGAAAGTGAGAGGTGGGTGGATTGGGAGGACCAGATTTTGGGGCACACTGTGCCCCTTGTCGGCTTCGTTCGAATGATTCTTCATTCCGGAAAGTAAGCTCCTTCGATTTAACCATTAAATAGTATGAATTTATGTGAAATTGTGAGTTGATGTTGTCGATTACTTGCTTTTGGATGCTTAATTGTGGTTCTAATTTATGATATTTGCTGCTGGCGGTTGAAAATGGAAGGAATTAGGGTTTCAGTTTGCTGAATCGCCATTAGGGTTTAGGGTTAGGTTAGAGCTCACACATTGCAGAAAATTGCTTTAGAACATTGACTATATATATATATGTATGTATATATACACGGCGGCATTTACTATGCTAAATTTTACTCCCTCTGCCCCGGAAATGTACGCACTTTTTTTTTTTTGCACGAAGACGAATGAATAATAGTATATAAATGTGTTTTAGTTTGATGTAATGGTATTGATGTAAAGAAATGTAAGTTTGAGGATATCTATAATACGAAGTGGAGTCAAATTTACTAAAAAAGAAATGTATATTTTGTCATGGGATATAGAAAATGGTAAAATGTATATGTTTTGACGGGACGGAGGGTGTATAATTCATTACGGTGTTGATAGTACATTGTGTGCGCTGACAGACAACACATGATTTATGTTAACATATTGACAACAGTCGCCATAGTCCCACGTAGCACATACAATTCACATATAAGTATGAACAGGCTGCGATAAATAAAAGCATATGTTGTCTGTGGGTGTTTTTTATGTGCTGACTGAGCAAAATCAGTGTGGTACCCAATAAGCACCACAAACTTCTCGATATATATATGGAAAATACAATTTAGTCCTAGCATAGGTTGTCGTCTTTGCAAATTAGACCCTCGTGCAAAATTGATCCTACTTCAAATAAACTCATGCAAATATAATCTTTTTGTTACACTTTTGACAGACTTTGCTATGTTGCCATTTTAGTAGCATGTGTGGTATCAAATACGCCCATGTGCATGGAAACACATTTTAAACATCTAAGCAATTTTTTTAGTGTATTAAAAATAGTGTGATTTTTGTTGTTAAATTTAGAATTGTGGAAGTTTTTTGAGGAATTGTGAATGTATTTTGGGTGAAATTGTTTTTTATTTTTTTAAAAATATTTTGTGAGAGAAAATAATATATTTTTATTAAAAAATATGGGATTAAAATTTGAGAATGGGGAGGAAGATAAAGAGCAAACCTGACCATGTTATTTAACACATGTGTCTCATAAACACACGGGTATGTACGAGTCCAAATAGGCTCTTATAATAGCCACATCGGTAAAGTCCGTCAAAATTGTAACATAATTATTACGTTTGCACGAACTTGTTTGAACGTGACCAATTTTGCACAAAAAGATGTAATTGGACTAATTGTGCACGGACCACCCTATACCGGGACTAAAAATATTTTTTTTCCCCATATAATGTGTGGGTGATAACTTCGATGATTGACATCCTTTTGTTGGGGGTAATTATTGTTTCAGTTTGTGTTGAATAATTGAATTGCAATAGTTAAGCTTAATTCCTGACTATGGCTGAAATTTGGTTTTTAATGAATTGTAAGCATGAAATTTAGTTCTTAATTACAGAGCTCAGTTGCTCTAACATGAGGATTGAATTGATTCTAGTGACAATGCAACTCTTAGCTATAGATATGATGCCGAACAAATTGATTCAATTCAGTTCCAATAATCGTTTTAATGATGTTCATTTGATGAATTGTTTAGATTGTTGATTGAATCCGAGTAACTTTAGACTATATGTTTAGATATGTTTTGGAAGCATTTTGGAGTTTTGGAAGTATTTTGGAGTTTTGAAAATAGTAAAAAATTTGAAGAAAAAATAGGTTTTGCTATGGTGTAAACATGTGTTGAACGTGATGTTTGCTATAGAAAATAGGTTATTTGATGTAATATTTTAAATGAAAAAATATTGATGAATAGTGCCGTCAAAATTGATTTGATAATATATGTAAATATATGGTTTAGAATCGACAATTTTGTTGTCAGATATGAAAGTGGCGATAGATTGGATCCTGAACACGAACGAACTATACTGGAGAGGTTGCTTCCATACCATCCCGAATGTGAGAAGAAAATAGGCTGTGGAGTTGCATACATCACGGTAAATTCGTGCCCCTTTCTTGTAAATGTAGTTAAAGTTATGCCTTTTGGTTTACGATTTTTCTTTTTCGAATTTCTTCGTAATCAGGGATAGATCCTCTCGTTCGCTATGAAAATTCTCATTCGGGTGCCTATAGTTTTCTACGGGTTTGGAATTGTTGAAAGACAAATGACTTGAAACTTTTGATATGGATTGATACCTGATCGCCGGATAAATTGAACACAGAATTATCTTTACTGCTACACTATTATCATTTTAATTGCCGAAAGTAGAAAGTAATCAAAACAAAACAATATAGAGATGAAATGTAGGATATGTATAGTTATGTTTTGGAAGTGTTTTGAAGTTTTGGAAAAGTTTTAGGAATGGTAAAATGTTCGAATAAAAAAGAAGTATTTAATACGATGTAAATAGATGTTTACGTTATATTTTGTATAAAAGAAGAATATTTTTTTATGCATTTTTTAAAAATGATACTTATTTGTCCATTATTTCTATTTTCTTTCATCTTCACTTTATTTGTCCTTTCGTTTTTAGAAAAAGTAATTATACATTTTAATTATTTACTAATTATACTTTACATAAATTAAACAGACATAAAAAGTGGGACGAAGGGAGTAATTAAGTATTGGATGTGATATATTTTAGATTTTTTTTATAAACAATGCCAAAATAGGTTTGAGAACTTTAAGTAATCGTTCGAATAGTAAAGAGTTAAATCGAAAATGTGTTTGATATGATGTAAATAGGTATTTGATACATTTTTTGGAATAAAAGACGTTTCTTTATTTGAGGGTTTTTTTTTTTTTTTTTTTAGCCGTAGTTTTGAATGTGATATTTTGGAAGATGAAATAACTATGCTTTTATAAGGAATTACGAGTATTGCATAGTAAAGAAATTGAATAAAAACTTAGATTTTGAATGTGATACTTATTTTAGAAAGAATTTTATGAATTGTGCCAAAATAAAATTGAAAATATAAATAAACATAGCCTTGAGGGTTCTTTGGTTTGTATTTATATTTTGTATTTAAATAGTAATTGAATATGATATTTTATAGAAACAAATAATACGTTCTTTGTCATGAATTATATGCTCTTTTGAGGTGCATATATAAAATAGAAATATGTTCAGTCGATGGAGAGAGTATATTTTTATAGAAATTTGCTGAGATTTTATTGTAAAAAATTTACCATTGTGCTTATTTTTACGTCGTGTCTCATATTCTCGGATCCGCTTTCCTCCGAACAGATCGGTTACCACCCGGACTTCGAAAGCTCAAGATGCTTATTCATAGTCCGTAAGGATGGAGAATTGGTCGATTTTTCGTTCTGGAAATGCATTAAAGGCATGATTAGAAAGAACTATCCTCTCTACGCCGACAGCTTCATCCTCCGACATTTCAGGAGACGAAGACACAGCGACTAATTAATGGTAAAAAATAAAAATAAAAACTCCCAATTTGTCTCAATTCTGAATGAAATTAATTAGAGAGTTCTTTAGTTGTTGAAGATGATCATCCATTGAGTTCTTACCATTCTTGTTATTATTAATTTTATTTTTGTTTTTATTATTATTATTATTATTATTGAAAGCATATATCCTTTTCGATTTGAGCTGTTGGAAGACATGTTTACTCTTAATGATTAAAATGTTGACGAAAAAAACAAGCATTGTCGTGAGTCCAAGTGTCGAATTTTAGTGAGGATGATGATCAAGACATCATTGTTCTTGAAGTCTCCCTATTTTTGGTAAAGAAAACATATCATTCATTTCATGCCCTTTTTAGTAAAATCAAGGTATGCAAAACTTTGGAACTTTGGAATTTTTTATTTTTTTATTTTTTATGACGTGGAAACCCGCAGCTGTTACCTGAAAGTGCGCATTGGGTAAGCTTCCGGTTGAACTTAATACTCTGCAAATCAGATCCGACGGAAAAGTCACACTAGGTGAACCATGTGTGGCAGATGACCTGAGTTATCGGGGGGGTTTGAATAAATGACTTCACGGTCACAATGCCTCTCTTACGGGACAATTTTGGAACTATTTTGTGTGGTGGACTGGTGGTGCTAGCACTAACAGTGACACTAAGTAAATTAATTAAGGGAAAAATTGTTTTTTAATTATCTAAATTTTTTTTATCATTCTAGAATTTTAAATAGATCTTGTTTGAAAATAGTTTCGTAAGTAAATTTTTTTCGTTAAAATGGTTCTCTGTTATCTGATCGTCACGTTGACCCGTCGTTGCTGATATGGTGCTGATGCAGCGATATGTCATCGTCACACGTTAGAGGATTATTTTAACGAAAATTAAATTACTTGTACAACTATTTTCAAACATAGTCCAAAATGATAAGATTATTTTAACGAAAATTAAATTACTTGTACAACTATTTTCAAACATAGTCCAAAATGATAAAAGGAAGTTATATAAAATATTAAAAAATAGTTTGCTAAGATATTTTGTAAATAAAAAAAAAAAAAAAAAATTGCATGTCATTAATGTGGCGGTAACATGTTAGCCGCGTTAGTGCCATATCATCATCGCCAGAACGGCGACATGGGAAGATCAACAGATTTACTAATTTTACTTACAAATAAACAGATTTACTTAAAATTTTAAAATAATAAAAAAAAAATTAAAAAATAAAAATGATAAAGGAATTAAAAAATAATTTACCCATTAATTAATTAATTATTTGTTTATTATACTTTATTTATTTATTTTTGAAGTGTGATTATGATATTAGAGTTTGTGCGAAAGTGGAAAATGAAAAATACTCGCCTGATGAAATGTTATTATTGATTGATTTTTATTTTTTATTTTTTTATTTTAAATTTGAGCGAATTATTTATTGTTGAGAAAGGACGAGAGAGTGGACAGATGTTGCTACTCCCTTTATGACACGTGGCCTTGCCGACGTGTCACTATTTTGCACATAACCATCACTATGGCAGTTGTCTTTGATTTTCTTCGGGTGTGTTTGTTTGGGGGTTTGGATTTTGGATTGGGATTTGAATAGTAAAAATTTTGAATTTGAATAGTTGTATGATGTGATATAAATAGGGTTTGATGTGATGTTTTGAATGTAAAATTGATTTTTAGTATAATATAAAAAATGAAAAATAGGTGTTTGATGTGATGTTTTTGGGGAAAAAAAATTGGATGAATAGTAGAAATCCTCCAAAATCCTTCAAACAAACACACCCTTCATTTACATCTATTTTACAGAGATAATAGTTAAATAAATATTATTTTGGTCAAAATTGAATAATAATAATTAGTAATAAAAGATAATAGTTAAATAAATATTATTTTGGTCAAAATTGAATAATAATAATTAGTAATGATTTTTTTTTTATCAAAATTTAATAGGATAAGTTTAACCGTACAAATTAAAAAATAAAAATAAAAATTGTAATTACAAATACTTCCTCAGTCTTTCACTAACCTATTTAATTTTTTATTTTAATTCATCTCATTATCAAGTATTTATTTATTTTTAGTTGTACATTTAATTAATATTGAAACTATTCTTTTAATTTACTCCATATATATATAAATTATATTATACTTTCTCCGTTCCAAAACTATAGTTTGAGTTGTGTTTGGCACCAAATTTAAAGAATATTGATATTATATTGGTAATAGGTAAAAAATACTGGTAAAAAACTTTTTTACCCTTGTGAGTGTATTAGTGTAAAAAATAGTGGCAATTGTGTAATAATAATGAAAAAATAAGGATAATTTTATAATGATATGATTATTTATGGAAACGAGACTATTGTTTTGAGACAGACAAAAATGGTAAACATAACTATTGTATTGGGACGAAATGAGTATTATATTGTTTAAAAAAATACTTTTTAAATTTTTATATTATTTTTATATTAATATCAATGGTGAAATAAATATTATATTATTTTATTGCATTATATATTTATAAAATATTAATTTATTTTAATACAAAAATCAAATAAAAAAAGCTACTCTTGAACTAAAGGAGTACTCCCTCTGTCCCAAAAGTATAGTCTTGTTGGGTTGGGCACGATATTTAAGAAATATTGATATTATATTGATAGTCGGTAAAAAGTAACGATAAATGACTTTTTTGTCTTTGTGAGTATATTAGTGTAAAAAGTAGTGACAATTGTGTAATAATAATAAAAAAATAGAGATAGTTTTATAGTGATATGATTATTTATAAAAATGAGACTATTATTTTAAAATCGATAAAAATAATAAACAAAACTATTATATTGGAACGAAATGTGTAATATATTTTGATATAAGATGGTTAAATTAATAAAACGAACAAACAAAAACATAAAAAAAGTAAAAAGCACATCCTAAGATACGGAATTCCTAGTCAAATCACCTGTCTTCGCACACTGACACGTGTCCTTATTTTTGTCCATGTAATAATTTACAGTAATACTCTATTTATTTTCAATATTATTTTTTGGATGTGTTTCTTTACGTTTTACTTTGAAAAAATTAACTTGAATTTAATATTAAAATAATATTTAATATAATATTTTGTAAGAAAAAAATTTATATTTTTTAAAAAAATGCAAAGTTCAAACAATAAAATTTGAAGAAATTTAATTAAAGAAACAAATTGTGTTTGGTTGTGAATTTGATTTTTAAATTTGAAGTTTTAAATAAATTTAAATTAAAATAGTCCTTTGATATACTCCCGCCGTCCACACACAAAGTAAATATTTACTTTTGGCACAAGATTTAAGAAATAATAGTATTTTAATTATAGTGGATAGTTAAAAGTAGTAAAATGACATTTTTGCCCTTACTTTTTGGTGTAAAAGTAATGATGTGATGTAAAGTAAGGATATTTGTGGAAAAAAGTAAGGTACTTAATAAAATATTTACTTTATAATTAGACGTCTCAAAATAAAAATATGTATACTTTATAGCTGGACGGAGGGAGTAATATAAATAGATTATGTAATGTTTTGAATGTAAAATTAATTTTTAGTATAATACTTTATCCGTCCATCTCCGTCTTTATGTTTTATTTACTTTTTACGTTATTGTACTTAACATTAATATATTTTTATATTTATATAAATTTTTATAGACATGTCATTATAACAGTACTATAAGACACTAATAAAAATAATTTTATTATTTCACTTAATTTGTATTATAATAGTATTGTAAGATACTAATATAAAAATCAAAAGTATTGTTTAATATAATATCTTTTACAAAAACAAAAACAAAAACAGAATGAAAGAGAAAAAATTTGTAAAAAATCCACAAAAAAAAATGCAGTCTTATTATTTTTTATTTATTTTAATTTAAATATTAATATTTTGATTTAAAATAAAATAATAAAAAAAAAACTCAGAAGTATTTGGACTTTGTATTTTCTCACAATTATATGTTTTTTTTTCTAATAAATATCTAATTATACATTATTTTAATACAAAATTAAAAAAAAAAAATTGAAACTCATCCATAAAAAAATACACCCTAAATATATATTATTTTTATTTAATTTATTATTGTTATTATCAAACCAACTAAAAATTGCAAAACAAATTTTAAAATACATCATTAATAATTGTATTTCCAAATTTTATTTTATTATTAAAAAATACATATATTATTAGTGGATATGTATCAAAGGGCACAATAAATTAATCAAAATGCAGTAAATTAATTAAAGATTGTAATATAACCTGGAAGTGGCGTGCTCATATTGGTCCCGCTAACGACTATGCCTTTACACTAGGGTGGCTTTATTATAAATAAATAAAATAAAATATTACTCCCTCCGTCCAGATACTATGTCCACGTTGCCATTTTTGTCCGTCTCACATACCATGTCACTTTTTTTTTTTTAAAAATGATTACACACTTTAATCTCATTTTAAAATTTTTAATTTTTTTATTTTAATTAAACTAATTAGTTATCTTAATCTTAATTTATAATTATTTATATTATAAAATAATTATTTTCACTAATACATTCTTAATTATCTACTAATTATACCCCTCCTAAAATATACCGTGTTGACGGAGGGAGTAATAATTAGAACCTAAATTACCAAATTACCCTCACCTCTAAATATTAATTTCTATATTCCATTTAATTCCACTTCATCGGCTGAATCTCCAGGCATAACATAAACGAGAAAAATAAAATAAAAATGAAATTACTCTCGACGCGCATCCGACCGTTAGTTTAAGGAATACGTGGACGGTCCAGATCGTCCCACTTTTCCTCCCATGATTGGGCGCCGTACACCAACCCCTCCCACTTCATTATTATTGGTCCACGCGCCCACCCAACTGGGCCCCACTTTGCATTATTTTTCTTACACTATAAATACGGCCTCGCAAAACTAGACACATGGCGGAATTGGAGTAGGAGGAATTTCTGCAGGCTTTAAATAAAAAATAAAATAAAATAAAAGGTAATTAAGGATGTTAATTAATTAATTAATTAATTATTTATTTATTTATTTATATTGACTTTTGCATCGTATTTTAATTTGTGCTTATCTGCTAATTTCAGCTTTTCGCACTTCGAACTTTTTGAAGATATTTTCACGTGGGCTATATCTAATTTATCTTGTATCCCTTGCCTCCACTGCACTTTCTAATTCTGGTTTCTCTCTGTGCCTATGTGTTCGATTTCCTGATTGGCTAATTTCAGAATCCAGGCGTAGATTCTGGTTATGAATCAATTGCCGATGCCGAAGGGAATGTGCTCCTCCAGCATTTAATTTGGGAATTAGGGTTTTTATTTTTCTGATTTGCTAATTTTAGGGCTTTTAATTTCGCCGTCTCTGTGAATTTGGGGAAAAATTGGATTCAAATGGGGGGCTAATTTTAGGGTTTTTAATTTCGCCGTCTCAGTGAATTTGGGGAAAAAATTGGATTCCAATCGGGGGCTAATTTTAGGGTTTTGATTTAGGGTTTATAATTTCGTCGTCTCTGTGAATTTGGGGAAAAAATTGGATTTGAATGGGGGCCTAATTTTAGGGTTTTGATTTAGGGTTTTTAATTTCATCGTCTCTGTGAATTTGGGGAAAAATTGGATTCGAATGGGGAGTAATTTGAATTTCAAAAACTTGGGGACGGGAGATATGGCCGCCGGCGGCGGGAGGCCGCCGGGGAATTTTCCGTTGACGCGGCAGTCGTCGATTTATTCCTTGACGTTCGACGAGTTCCAGACCGCCGTCGGAGGAACCGGGAAGGATTTTGTGTCGATGAACATGGATGAGCTGCTGAAGAACATATGGACCGCCGAGGAGAATCAGACCGCCGGATCCACCAGCGGCGGCGGCGGAGCCGCCGCCGGAGTTGGAAATAGCAGTTTGCAGCGGCAGGGTTCTCTGACACTCCCTCGGACTCTGAGTCAGAAGACCGTCGACGAAGTCTGGAAGAATATTTCAAAAGACTACGGCGCCTCCGCCGCCGCCGATTTCGGTGGATTTAATATTCCGGTGAAGGAGCCGACGTTAGGGGAAGTTACACTGGAGGAGTTCTTGGTAAGAGCTGGCGTTGTAAGAGAAGATCCTCAATTGGCTAAGGTTAGCTATTTTGGAGATTTGTCTAATGTAATGAATAGCTCCGCCATGGGAGGATTCGGTATACCACACGCGCCGCCATCGCCGCCGCTCCTCCCGAAGCCTAATTTGGCGTTTCGGCCGAGCGCCGCCGTGGGGATGTCGGATCTGCCGATTAACGGCGGCGCCGTTCCGAGTGCAGTGCCGCTGCAGGGGATTGTGGGATTAGGGACGAATGGAGTAACCGCCGTTAGGACAGGGTCGCCGGCCGTCTCGTCGGAGGGAGTAAATAAGAGCAACGGCGGCGACACCTCGTCGGTGTCGCCAATTCCGTACGCATTCAACGGTGGGTTTCGCGGCCGGAGAAGCACCGCCTTAGAGAAGGTTGTCGAGAGGCGACAGAGGCGGATGATTAAAAACCGCGAGTCGGCTGCAAGATCACGCGCTCGCAAGCAGGTAAAAAAATATTTTTGTCCGCACAATATGATTTGTTATTTTCTATTTTTTAATATAATTATATATTTTAGTTTCATTTTAAATTTTAATTAAATTATTTAATTATTTTAATTTTAATAAAAAATTATTTTTATTATATAATAATTATTTTTATTAATATAACTTTTTAATTACTTACTAATTAATATATTTTATCTAAATTATCGGAGGTATGGTAATCCGAACAATGTATGTATAGTATAAAATTTTATTCATATAAAAAATTTATCCATGCATTTTTTTATATAGGAGTACTTTTTTATTATTAAAATACTATTTCCTCAATTTCTGTGTAAGATGTACATTTATTTTTGACTCAAAATTTAAGAAATAATAATACTCCCTCCGTCCCAAAATTTTAATCTTGGTTGTGATGGACACGAGATTTAAGTAATATTGAAATTATATTGACAGTGAGTAAAAAGTATAGATAAAAGACATTTTTGCCTTTGTGAGTCTATATGTGTAAAAGGCAGTGACAATTGTGTAATAATAATGAAAGAGTAAGAGTAGTTATACAGTGATATGGTTATTTATAGAAATAAGACTGTTGTTTTGGGACGAAGTAAATAAGACTATTGTATTGGGACGGAGGGAGTATTTTAATTGTAGTAGATATTTAAAGTAATACAAAGATTATTTTGCCCTGTATAAAATAATGATGTGAAAGTAAAATAAGAATATTAGTAAAAAAAGATGGGTCCATAATTAATAAGAAAAGGAAATATATACATTAATCCGGGATGGTCGAAAATGAAAATTGTATATTAGATTAATATGAGACGAATGAAGTATTATTTATTTGGGTCTTTATTGGTGTTTTGACAAAATCAACATAGTTTTATTGGATGGAGAGTGTACTATATAGTTTTGCAATACAGGACTTTTTGATTTAAATGATTATTTTACTTAAAAATTTAAAATTGTTGCGAGATGTGTCATTAATTATATATTTTTATTACTCCCTCCGTCCCATGGGTGTATTACCGTAGACACGAGATTATTACCGTAGATACGAGATTGTAGGTAAAGTATAATTAGTAAGTAATTAAGAAGTGTATTAGTAAAAATAATTATTATTTAGTAAAAATAATTATAGATTAAGATTAAGATAAGAAAATAATTTAATTAAAATTAAGAAAATTATAAAATTTAAAATTTAAAATGCGATTAAAATGTATAATTATATTTCCAAAAATAGAATGACAAGTTATGTGGGATGAACGAAAATAAAAAAATAGGGACAAATTATGTGAGACGGATGGAGTAATATTTTTTCTACTTATCTCACTGTTTTATTATTATTACATTTTAATTTTACAATGAATTTCTTATAATAATTCACCTATACTTTTTTTTTTTTTTTTTTATCTAATTTACTTTATTCTAGATTTATATAAAAATATTGTTATTTCTTGATTAATGTTTTCGTGTTCAAACAATGTACTACGTAGTTTCATATCAAGAGATTTTTTTTACTGTAAATGACTATTTTATTTAAAAATTTACACTGATATCATTAATTACATATTTTATAGTTTTTTGATAACATTAAAAATGATCGTAAACAATTTGTTTGCAAATTAAAAGGCGTATACGATGGAATTGGAAGCCGAAGTCGCGAAACTCAAGGAAGAAAACGAGGAATTGCAGAGGAAACATGTAGACAACAACAAACTTCATTCCTTAATTCATCAATGTCTCGATTCGATTGTGCTAATGTTGTTTTTTTTTTTTTTTTGTCGTGTCCAGGCAAGATTGGTCGAAATACAAAAGAATCGGGTGGCGGAAATGGCGAATGCGCAGCAAAATGGGAACAAGAGACAGTGCTTGAGGAGGACACAGACGTGTCGATGGTAATAAAATCTAAACTAATCTAGTCTATGGATGTCTGTCGTCGTTGTTGTTCGATTATTAGTTACTACATTTGATGATGTCTGAAATATCATTGCATATTTTTGAGGATGTAAATATTACAGAGGCAGGGACAGAGATACACATATGGATGTGTCTCTCCCTTGTAGATGAAGATGATGATGAAAAATTAATTACAGAAACGGTAGGGTTTGTTTGTTTGAAGTCTGAATGTTTTTCGTGTTATTCGTCGTATTTTTGTTATCCTTCGAAATTACAACATCGAATATATATACTTTTAGGGTGTGTTTGTTTGAGAGATTGGATTTTAAATTCACTGTTAATCTTATTTTTATTTATTTTTTTCAAAAATCAAATCAAACATTTATTTTTCATTTTTATATTATACTAAAAATTAATTTTACATTCAAAACATTATATCAACACCTATTTATATCACATCATATAAATATTTTAATTCAAAATTTTTACTATTCAAATTTCAATTCAAAATTCAAACCCCCAAACAAACACACCCTAAGGTATTAAAATAATGTATGTGAGAAGAAAATTTGTATTTTTTTTTTCGAAAAGACAGAATTCAAATTGTAGAAAATTTGAATTATTGATTTTTTGTGTATTAATAAAGCATATATCTTATACATATATATATTGTGTTGATGTATATATATTGTATTTTTTTTTTATAATATTTATGGAAAATAGTGTCATTTAAAATAGATTGAGTAAATAAACTTTTTGGTACAAAAAATTGAAAGCATAGAACTTAAGAAAAATAAATTATTTTATTTTTATTTTTTCATTTTTTTTTTCATATTCAAATAAATTGAGATAAATAAATATTGATGCAATATATTTATCTTTTAAAATATTTTTGTACTATTTAAATTTATAAAACATCACATATAATTTATTCAAGTATTTAATGTTTGAGAATTTCTTTTTAGAAAAAAAAACACTAAAACCTAATCTTAAAAGACATCGTGTCGAACTTATTATTAAAACAAAAAAGTAAACCATTTTTTTTTTCATGGATTTTTATTAATTAAAATTCTCTTTTACCCGATTAATTATTACTCTTTTTATCACTTAACAATCTATCTATTTTTTATTTTGGTCCGCAAATATCATTACCTTTATATCATACAATATTAATAGCGTTAATTTAGTCTTTCTACTTTTATTTCTTCTTTATCCAAATATAATACTAATATTTTTAAAACTTCGTACAAAAAGTAAATAGATATATATAGATATGGGACGAAGGAGTATTATTATTACTATTATTATTATTATTATTATTATTATTATTATTTATCAAAAATAGTTGTATTTTTTATAATTTTCAACTAAATTTTCTATTCAACCAATAAAAAATTAATTTTCATTCTCTATTAAATTTATTTTCTATGCAATTTCATTATCTACTTTTGCAATTTTATCTTTTATACCAAAAGTCCCCTAAAGGTCATGTAAAAAAAAAAAAAGGCCTATTCGAAATAAATCGTTTCAATTATAGTACTTGACAAGATCAAAATAGTACCATACAATATATATATAAATCGGACGGTATGTATACATATATCATTACATGATAATATAATATATACTACATATTTTAACAATACGATATATTTTTATATAATACAATATATTATTAATTTCAGCATAGTAAATATATTTAAACAACACAGTATAATATATAAGTTACACCCTATGCTTTTATACGGTATAAATATTTTCATTTATTATCTACTTATGTTTTAGAATATTAATATTTTATATGTAGTACTGTACATGGATAAATATACAATTTATCCTAGGAGTATTTTGCTTTTAATTAATAACAATTTTTTTTATTAATTTTATTGTATAATCAATGGTAGTATTTTATAAAAAATAATAATTTTATACAATAATTAATTAAAATAAATATTAAATTATTTTGTCATTTAATTATGTAATTCACTGTGTGTATTATATAGAGCTAATAAAGGCTAACAAGATAATTGAATTTGAGTCATAAAAATTTGCCTTAATGATGTATACGAGGTCAATACAAATATGATACGATAATGAACATGTTGGATTAAGGTTGATGTTATATACTCGAAACCGATACGAATAACTTGATTATGATATATTAGTATCAATTAATTAATTATTTATGTCAAATAATTTTAAATAGATATTTAATCCACATATTAATTTAAATTAAATTCAATTTAATTTATTATGCAAATAATATTAGAATCAATAAAAATTAACATAATACGACACGTACGATACGAGAACTTGACACGAAATAATTGAATTTGAATAAAGAATTTATGAGTTCGAATCGATCGACTGACAGGTCTAATATTACAATTATATCCCAAAAAGTAAATACTCATAAATGTTTAACATTTTATATTTAGTGTGTTTCACATAAATTTCTTTTCATTTTTTTTTTTTATGTTTCTGAAAATTTTATTAGGGGATAGAATATAAATAATATTTAAATATAAATACTAAAAATGTATAGCAAGATCCGTTGTAGTCTAGATGGTTAGGATACTCGGCTCTCACCCGAGAGACCCGGGTTCGAGTCCCGGCAACGGAAAGTTTTTAATTTTTTAATAGTTCTTACTGGGCTATCCGAAATGGGCCCAAAACCAAAAGCCCAATACAAAGTCTAATTGGGCCATCGTCTAAAAGGGAAATTCTTTGAATTGCTTTACTGACGGAATTATGGAGGCAGGCCGTGCTGTCCCTTCCGCAGACAAATCTCCGGAGACACGAAAACCCGCCTTTTTTTCGTCTGCCTAAGCTTGAAAACCGTCAGTGCTTGTACTGGACGAGATCCGGACGGCGACAGGAAAATCTTAACTAGGTAACGTATTTTAGGTTCATTTTTGTTTGGGTTAATGTTTTTGGTTTTGGTTATGATTTTGTGATGAAACTTAGGGTCGGAATAGTGGAATCGAGTACGTGAAAAGCCTATTTAAGCTTTTGTGAGTTATTAATAATTTCGCGTGTACGTTGGATTCGTATCCGTGCGTCTCTCTGATTTCTGAAGTTCATGATTTGTGTTCAGTTGAATTTTATAGAAATTTAGCTATAACTTGACTGGAGATTCGTTGATTCGGATTTCAGTGTTACTTCTTGCTCACATGTGCATTTCATTTCTGGCATTTTTGGATTGGAGTTAATTTCCGTTTTTTGAATTGGGTTCTTATACTGTTTTTGCTTTCCCTAATTATGGTATAATTATGTCTTTTTAACTATTGAAGGCAGAATGGGATACATAAGGAGTGTTCATCAACTGGGTAATAGAGGTTTATCTCATAAGTTGGGAAGTTTTCGACAAAATAAGACCTCTAATGCTTGCTTACATCAAGGTAATATCACTTTACTGTCATTTGTATGGACAATAGGGTGAATTCATGTTGGCTATATAAACTATTTATGTTAAACTATGTTTGGTGAAGTTGATATAGCATCAGTATCATATCTGGATGAGAAGTTTACATTTAAGGGTCTAGAAATTTTGAATAAGATGGTTATTTTGATAAGTATGAAATAACTAATGTGCCTTTCCGTGACTCTTGTGTTTATGGTAAACAACATCGAGTGTAATTTCCAGTGTCTGTGTCTCCTAATCCCAAACAACTAGTGTTATGAAATTCTAGAATATATTCTTGCTAATGTTGGGAAGTCCTAATGTGGGACTCGATATGGAAATCGGTATTTTCTATTCATTATTGATAGTTTTTTGCAAAAGGTTTGGATTTTCCTAATGAAAAACAATTAGTTCAGTGCTATTGGGAATTATAGGAGTGATAATAAATCTTGGTAGGTTTGGATTTTGTAAAGATTGTTGTTATAAAAGTATTACTTTTGATTGTGATCTATTTAATTTGATTAGACTGGTTCAGTCGTAACTTATAGTTGGTGTGGGCAATTGCAGTGGCAATTGAGTCAACCAATTTCATCTATGGTTCAAATATAAATGATTGGGAAAGGCTATATACTTCTTCAGCTCCAGCTCCTGCTTCATCCGGTGTGTCGGAAGGCAAAAAGATACGGAAAAAGGATTTATGGGAAGAACGAAAATCTATGGTGGAGAATTATGTTAATAGGTAAACAATTTTCCAAATTTCCCTTGTATGTATTAACTATTCAGAAAGCTTGGGATAGGAAAAATTGTAAAAAACTTATGCTTCATTGAGCTGAAATGTTAATATCACTTGCGATGCGATGAGTGAAAGAACAATGAGTTGAGAATTGGTATCTTTTAATTGTTTCCAGGGTTTCTTGCATTGTGCAATATACAGTCCTTTGTAAGGTTCAGCGCGCTGGCTTTGTAGATAGTACTTTGAAGAAATAGCAGTTTTTTCATCCAGTTTGTTTTTGAAATCTGTTCCTTTGGTCAGTCATTGTCAATGACATTGAAAGCTTGTTTAAGATGAATGCTCCAAATTGGCACAATATTGAGTATATTAATTTGGGTTAGTTTTTGAAAGATAGTTCTTCATTAAATTTGGGACACAGTTGTCTGTAGCCTAATTATGAACATGTATTTATTTATTTTATAATCATGATGTCAGTTGAACATACACAAAATTTGTTCCAAATATAGATGTATTAAGCTCTGCATGTTTTGACACGCTGATTGCCTGAGAAAATTTGTGTTAAGATAATTCATTGGTTTCCTTTTTGTTTCATTTTCAGCTTTGTGATAGCAGTATTTACTGTTGTCTCAATTGTTATGCTTACTATTATTATAAGGAATTCTATATGAGCATACTTTCTACTTGCTGGTCATACTCTTTTTTTTTTTACGTATCTTTACAAAGGCAATACAAAAATGTGTAAGGTTTGTGTGATGTGTAGCATACATTATCATTAACAAATGCATATGCATCACTTGTAGTATTAAGTAATATATTGATTGATTAACAGGTACAGGGAAATGAACGCAGGGAAATTTCCAAGTGCTAGTAATATTAAGGCGAACGTAGGAGGGTCTTACTATTCTGTTAGAAAGATCCTCCAGGAGATGATATACCATTCCAAAACACCCTTCATGGACACTAAGGCTTCTGTTTCGCTGGAGAAAGGTGCTGTGAAGAAGGCAGGACCAGGTGTCGGCTCTCGGGAGGTTTTACCAAGAAATAAGATAGAACATATGAGCCCAATCTTGAAAGTAGACATGAAAGATGACATATCCAAGAGCGTCAAATCAAAGGACAAATTACAGTCTCCAATTTCAGATCAAGTGAGTTTATATGATGAACCAAACCTTTTCGAGCAAGGGACGCCTTATAATGCTAAACCGTATATGTCATTGTGAATTGTAATCACTTTCAGTGGAATGTGATGCACATATTTCAACTGCATACATTTTAATTCTAGCAACCCACCTTTCTGATACTGAATCTGAAATGTTTTATATTTTTTCATTATTTGAAGAGTGAGATAGCAAAGCATGATGGGCCTCAATTCCAGTGCCTGGTCAATGAATCTAAAAGCAGCCTACAATCTGATCCTGGAAATAGCTCAGAATACAAGACTGTACATGAGGATAAGGTGAACTTGGATGGGTTACAGCCGACTGCTGAGCTAAAACAGTCAACTGAATCAGATGTATCTTGGAGGTAATTTCACTATATTCATGTCTGTATACATCTTTGTAACTGTTTACCTATGTACGTCTTAAGGCCCTTTGAGATCCTCAATGGTAGAACAGGAAAATCCTTGTGGTTCTCTTATTTTTCTTACTGTTTGAGGTTTTTAGGTCTTTAATGTGATTTTTAAAGACACCGTGACATCTTATATATTATATCTTTATTGAAATTGATAATCAATCTTGTTGTGGACATGATCCTCCATTAAACGGGAGATTCTAAATACAGAGTGCAACGGGTACTTAGTAATATTCTAATAGTATGCTCTAGTGCTAATTTTAAAATGGCATAAAGAATAGTTACTGAGATTTCTTAAATGTGGACTAGAGATAGGAATTCTTGCATTCCAACTCTCTAATTTCAAGGTAATCTTGGCTGATTGATTGATTATGCTCAATTTTAGTTCCTTGCTTTTCTATTTTATGTAATGAAGTTTTTTCTGGTGAAGGCATCCGTAACACTGCGTTCTATATGTGTGTTTCTTGGGATCGTATGTTTCCAAACTATTATGTATAAAGCTGTGTTGTGTATGTTAGATTTTATAAAGGGCAACTTGTATTTAACTTACATTGTAGGAAGGCAAATCTTTTTATTTTCAACTTATATTGTTGCCTTTTCTTTCTTTTTTTCATCTAGTTTCTCCAACCGTAAAATTTATCATCATATGCTCACTTTTTTATTTGAGAAGTGCTTATGTTATCTGAATGCAGCGAGTCTCGCAAAGTACCATCCACTAAAGCTGCAGAACCTCCAAAGAAATCCTCCGTGTGGCACAATCTGAGGTCTTTTGCAAATGGCATTTTAGGTATATGGAAGAGATCTTAATAGTGCTTGAGGTTTTGAGAGAAACAGGCATTTTCTTATCAGCCAGAAACACTTTCTTTGAGAGGATTTTTCGAACTAACTTTGGCAAGATTTCAATCACTTTGCGCACGTTGAATCTGTAGTGGGATACTATGTGATTAGAAGGGTAGTTAATTGTAACGGTAGTAAGATTGCTAGAAATTGACCTTCCTATTGGTCATGGTGATTTTATGGGGATGTATAACTTTTAACTCCAGGGATATTAGATTCACAAAAACATGCAAGCTGTTGAAAGTTCATCGATTGTAAGTATCCAAGATCTCCATTGCTTCTCTAGTACTTCTATCACCTCTCAGCCCAAACGAGCATTGTGTTGCCGATGTTTCTGTAATCAGAGACAAAGATCATTCACATGAATTCTGATTATTTTGGAGTAGTGAAGTTTGAATCAAGAACCAGTTTCCACTTTTTGTGAAACATAACTAATTTCTTCTCATTTGTTTAGTGTATTGACTATTTATGTCTCAGGCCAAAATTTGTCAACAAGATCAGAGGTCACCAACAATTGTATGGTGGTTGAACTACTTGGAGAGCAAAAACAATTCAACTTAAAAAGTTACCTACTCGAGACTTCCTTGCTGAATACTAACCATTTTCTTTTCTTCAATTTTGTCCTTAGGAAACTAAAGAAGATTGGTGAATAGCTGAAATGATTATTGATGTTGTAGGGAATTGAATGATTCTGTATACAGACAAAGATTTCTGCAGTTGCAGGTGTCAAAAAGAGCAAGACATTTGAGTGTGCAGAAACAGAGTTTGCATTCAAATTTGTAACCAACCCATCATGTGAGTCTCCTCTGCTCATTTCAGAACACACCCCACTTCATTTCTCTGCTTTTTATTTCCTTATTTTCAGGCATGGTAGTGTGTGTAGTATGTACATATATACTTGGGTGGTAGTTTTGAATTTTATAAATAGAATGAGTGACTGGTGAAGCACAAGGTACTAACTATTATTTTCACCTCTGTGGGTAGGGACATGGTTTGACTGGAAAATGCAGGCCAGGCCAGCCTGTCTCTCTGTCATTGCTTTTTTGTTTAATAATTTTTCATTCAATGTCTTTCTTCCACAGATTGTTATTTGAATATAATTGCTTCCATCAGATAGGACTATGTTATAAAGCTTTGTTCTTTAGAAAGATTGGAAATTATCTGATTAGTTGAAATCAATTGGGGTGGATTTGAGTAAGGACTTGCTGGTGTTGTAATGGCATGGACAGGAGGAACTGACTGATGGTGTCTGACCACCACTATGTCACAATGTAATAACATTTTTCATAGATAAAAAAAAAAAAAAGAAAAACGAACTAATGGTCATTGATATTATTCCGTGATGCTTATGGGGCAGACAGGCTAAATCAATATCAGTCACCACATATAAAAGAATTAAATAGCATATATTTTTATTTTGAAAGAATGTAATGCTGTATGAATATATTTGTTGTACTGAAATTAATTATAGTATATATTGTTTGAGATTATATATCCGGGTAGTTCATGTGGTGCATTTCTATTAATATAATTCATGTGCTGTTTGTTGTATATCGTTTTCATATTGTATTATTAGTTCATATATTGTATTTATATTAGATTGAATTAAGTTACTTGTTATTTCTTTTTTTTTTTTGTTATTTGTATGTATATGATGGGTTGTATGTCGTATTATTCAGTCCTTTTAAGATATTATTCAGTATTTTTAAGGTAAAATTGTTTTTATTGCAATGTCTCAGTTTGGAGTATCAGTAGAGCGCAATCTATGCCAATTTGCCCTCCATTGTGCCACTCAAATTTTCAGTCAAGACAAGACTGTGCCTTTCATTGAATCTCAGGAAATCCTGGGCTCCACACTCCTAGGCTAATCCACTCCATTGATGCTAATGCTACAAAGAAGGTAACCCTCAGATTTCCATCAGGAGTCAGAGTCCCGGGTCTTGCCAAGAAATCTACATACAGAAACAAGGTGAAGAATCTCACTTAAATAGCTTTTGTTAACAGAACACCATGATTAAGACACCTTCCCTTGATTCCCTCGTAGTCCAAAAGGAACCGTTTTTCGCGTAAATCCACATATGATCGCGTAAACCCATTGTAGCCTAACTATTTCCCCCACCCCACCCCACCCCACCAGGGGTCAAGATTCAAGATCCACATGACGAAGACCAGAGCATTTCCCCCTTTTTTATTTAAGCAGTAGTATGAAATAATACAAAGTTTGCATTCTGATCTTTCTATGTAGTCAATCTTTCCCTTTTCCTTTTCCTCTCAGGATGCCGGAGATGGGTTTTCAAGATTCGAGATCGGGCCTCAGGGCCCGAGATGTAAGTCCAGATTCAGTGATTTTCACCACTGAAACCAACTTCAGTCTCTTCTCCTCTGCTTCCGCTAGTGTCGAGCGATGCTCCTTCGCCTCAGACGTGCCTGATCAAGATTCTATCTCCTCTGTAAGTTTCCTCGATTCAATCCCCCAAGCTTATTTCACATTTTCTTGATAATTATTATTATGCATTTGCACAAAAATGGTGCGATGTTCTTAGTGGGGTCTGTGTGGTCGAACAAATCTAAAGCTAGATTTTCCATACACAACGTTTTGATGGGTGGTTCTAATTTCTACACAAGACTGTAGTGTGTAGTTCTTTCCAATCTAGAAAAAATGTCTGCTTTGAAGGAGCTGGTAAAGTTGAAATCTTTGATTTGGAACAGCATTTGGCAGGGCACGAATTGTCTGATGTAATAATGAGTGGACCAGATCCAGATCCAAACAAATCCACCACAGTACACAAGAACAACTCTATCGTTAAGATCAGCAGAAAAGAAAAGGCTAAAGGTACAGTTTTTCCCCCTTTTACTTGAATTTCAGCTTTGGTGTCAAGACTGGTTTTTTGCTAATTGATCTTTCTTACACTTAATGTTCGATGAAAATAATCACCTGAATTTATTCTGAAATTTAGATAGTAGTGAGGCTGAAACAACAGAGGATGAAACCCTAGCCGTAGATTCTGCAAGAAGTTCATTTTCTCAAGCCCTTAGAGGTATACATACATACATATTGCGGATTCATTAATGCCATTGCTTAAGAATGCTCGAATTTTTTGGTGTTTATTCATTCAATTCCCCTTTGCTGCTTCTTGTTGGATTGGATTGATTAGAATGCCAAGACCGGAGATTGAGATCGGAGATTCTTCTGCGAAAGACTGATCGTCGAAGACCTGCTTCGCTAGATCTCAACAGCTCGGCGATCAATCCAGCGAATTCAGCATCTCCAAGATTCGGGATCATGAAGAAACCATCTGCCTCGGCGCGCAAGACGGGGACGTTTCCGAGCCCCGGAACACCTAATTACCGTCACACAAGTGTCGGCATTCAGAAAGGATGGAGCTCGGAGCGCATTCCATCGCACACGAATGCTAACCGGAGGAGCATGAACGCCGTGTTCTTGCCCTACAACAACGGCAGGACTTTGCCTTCAAAATGGGAAGATGCAGAGAGGTGGATTTTTAGTCCGGTATTGGGTGATGGATCGGCTGCAAGAGCTTCGTTTCAGCAGCCGCAAAGACGGCCTAAGTCGAAGAGTGGACCCCTCGGCCCTCCCGGGGTCGCCTACTATCAAATGTTCTCTCCCGCCGCGCCAATGTTCAACGACGGAAATAAACTCGCCCCGCATTCACCTTTCTCCGCCGGAGTAATAGCTGTGAGCGGCTCGTCCACTCAATATGGACCCCGCGAAGGCGCCGGAAACTTCCTCACCGAGCCATGTATGGCCAGGTCGATTAGTATACATGGATGCTCCGAGATGCTCGGCCAATCGTCATTGCCCGTGCTACAAGGTATAAACCGTCTATGACCCTGTCTAAGTATTTAACGTTTGTTCAATGCTGATGGGAAATATGGAAATGTTATTAAAGATGGCACCAACGGCATATCTCGTGCTGTCTCGAGGAGGGATATGGCGACGCAGATGAGTCCCGAGAGTAGCATCGAGTCGTCGCCTCGACGGCTGTCATCGTTCTCGCTAGCAACTCCATCTATTCAACCTGTTCTGGAATTTCCGAGCACGCAATCCTCCAAACAGGAAATCCGGGATGTGTCAGTCGACGAGCTGGTCACTGTGACGAGGTGGTCCAAGCGATATAAGGGTAAAGCTCCTGAAAAGAGCAGCCAAAATGCCGATGACTGGAAAAGAAAAGCTATTAGTATTCACTCCACGGGATGGGATGTCTCGACCGAGACATCTAAGAGTATATCGAAGTAACTCTTACATACAACCTATTCTCGAGTTTTGTTTGCTTTATCTCCCATATTTAGTGAAGACGTCAATGATTCGAAAACTTGTCTTAAAATCGCGTTTCAGGATTCAAAGGGAGGAAGCTAAAATTATGGCATGGGAGAATCTGCAGAAAGCGAAAGCCGAGGCTGCAATTAGGAAACTCGAGGTACTTGTCTCCGCCTTCACTTCCTGTCTTGTTATTTCATCGTAGGTATAAAGATCGATTGGTGGGTGTAGAGTTTAATCACAATGTATATGTGTGTTTGTGGCGTAGATGAAACTTGAAAAGAAGCGAGCTTGGTCGATGAACAAAATTATGAAAAAACTTAGATCTGCACAGAAGAAGGCTCAAGATATGAGAAGCTCTATGCTGGCGAACCCCGCAGGCGATCGAACCTCGAGACCCTTCGAGAGAGCATTGTCTTTCCGTAGAACTCGGCCGATTGGTTCGCTAAGTGGATGCTTTACTTGCCACGCTTTTTAGCCTCTTCGCCTTTCATGAGGGGCTTGGGGCTTTCATAATTCAGGTATGCTTTCGAGCACAAGATAACTTGTTCCGATTATGTTATTTTATGGGCAATATTGCTTATAACTTGTCCGTAGTTCGAAAAGTCTGCATCATATTCCTACATTATTTAGAAACTGCATAAGATTGGAATTTCTTCCATAGTATTTTTGAAAATATTGCACAAAATCTTTCGAGGATTTTGTGCAATGTTTTATATATCATGAGGGAGAATTATGCAAATTTTTTGTACCGGAAGCGGATTATAAGCAATTGTGTTTGTTTGATGCAATATAATTCAGGCAAAATTACTCGTAACTCCCATGTGGTACTTTAAAAATTGCATGATGCCCCTTATATTTAAAAAAAACGTTTGAAACTTCTTTTTGACATTTTTTGTGGGATGAGAAGATGATTACCCATATGTACTTTTTACATAAGAGGGGGGTATATGCAGCGTTTTTAAAAATATAAGAATGCGTAATGCAATCTTTAAAATAATAGGGAATTTACGTTGAGTTTCGGAATCACATGGGAGTTATGGACAATTTTGCCTAAAATTCATGTAAGGATACTCGTTGATCGATCTATTTATTGAACTACTCGGTCTTTCAACTCTGCAGGCATAGAGACATCACGTACATATCGGAACAAGCCTATTCGGTATTGTGCTAAAACTTGGAAGAGAGACGGTGTCATCTGTATCGTTGTAAGTATGCGACTTTGAAATCGAAATTATCGATCAATTTGGCGCGTAGTCTACAGATGTGTGTTTATTCTTCTTCTTCTTCTTCTTCTCATGTCATGTCTTGGACCATCAACATTGTGTCTATTCTTGTTTGAGATTGCCATTTCATTCTCGAGGATGTATCGACGACGACGGCGACAATGATAGTCTCCCTAATCGGGTGATGTTAACGTAATCTGACAGACAGTGATTTGTCAGCCCCGGCGCAACCAAAGCCATTATCCGGAAAAGCTTCATGAACCACCCTTCTTTGTACTGATCGCCGTTCGACCACGGCAAGATGAAACCTCTTAAAAGCTCGTAAAATGCATTTAACGTCATCGGTACGAGGTGTAGCAACGAGAAGTAGTTCTTGTTCGGTTCCTCTTCGAGAACCTGATCGATCGATATATATATAAGGATTGTGGATTTTGAAAGTTAGACGTATGGAAGATATATAACGGAGATTGTTATGCACGTGCCTGGCCGTTGTAGCGACTATTGAAGTACAAACACGGCCCGAAGTGCTTGAACGAGAAAGTCCAGTCGTCGTACGGCAACCTCGGAATCAAGTCGTTGCAATATACGTACCTGTATGTATATTTATAAATAGAGCTCTTAAACGAGTCGGTAGCTCGGTAAAGTCTAATAAGGTCAACTTGATAAAATTCACTAATATGCTATAAATTCTAAGTATATTTTTAAACAAATGTGGAATATAATTCGAACTTGAAATCACTCTTTTTTGTTTTTTTTAAAAAAAATTTACCTTTACATTTTTGGAAGATGGGCGAAGTAGTATTACAAAAATAGATACAATTTTTATTTAAAATATCTCATTACATGATTATTTATATTTTATTCTATTCATCATAACTCAAAGTATTATATTTATTATTTTTTTCGTTATATTTCAAAATTTTATTTTATTTTTATTTTAGTAAAAATAATTATACTCTAATACAAAAATATTTTTAACTTTATTTAAATTACAATCATACTATTACATATACATAAAGTCAAATAATAAAAAAATATCAAAATTTTTTAAAACTTTTCATAACTAATAAAATATTACTCTCTCCGTCCGATTCTAAAAATTACATTTATGTTTACCTTTTGAGTCATTGTATGTAACATTAAAAATATCTATATATTTGTATAATTTTTTGTACAAATATCCTTCTATTACTATTATAAGATACTAATGGAAATATTTTTGTAATTTTTTTTTAATTTATACTATGTGTTAATATAATAATTAATATTCAAATATCAATACACATAAAATAAATAAAACTTTAGAAATGGACGTATATGATAGTATTATTTTTAAATTTATTAGAAAACTCCAAAAGACTTTTTAGAGTGGAACAAAGGAAATATTAAATACTATTTTAATTGATTTATTTTTTATTATTTGATCCCAAATCTCAAATACAACAAGTACAAATCTTACAAGAACAAAGATTAAATTATTTCAAGGTTTTTATATACTGCTTTAAGGTTTCAATTTTAGTTCGAGATTTGTAGATAATAAAAATTCAAATTGAAATAATATTGATATGACATAAATAGGTATTTCAAATAAAAAAATTATTTATTTAATTTAAAAAAAGTTAATAATTAGATATTTAATACTCCTATTATATTTTTTACTCGTTCAGTCTTACTTAATTTGTTCCTAATTTTTTTATTAATGAATAATAATTTAACAAAGTTACCTGTAATAGTTGACATGGTAGAAGTCCATCTTGGCCTTCAAGTAGTCTCCGAAATGGCTGTCTCCAACCCTAGGCTGTCCGAACGTGTACACACCCTCCAGCCGCCGCAGCACCGCCGCCTCCTCGTGCATTGCCAGAACGCCGGCGAACAGAACAGCCAGGGCGCCGCCGAGGCTGTGACCTGTCAGGATGAACTTTGCCCCCTCGTCTTCCGAAATTAGGGTTTTCAGTTCCTCCCGGATTCTGTAATACGCAAACTCCCGGCAGCGGCGGCGGCGGAGCTCTTTCGGCCACCCGTCGGACTTCTGCATTCCGAGGGCTTTCATGAAGCCACGGTGGATCTTACCGACGCCCTTGAATTGGTGCCACGAGATGTCGATGTCCGTCCGCCACGCGTCGGCGTCGAACGGCGCCGTGCCTCTGAACGCCACCACGATTAGGGTTCCACCGCCGCCGCCGGATCTCTGCCGGAATAGTATGGCGTGCGTTGAATTTGTTTCTTGGTAATCTGTATTAATGCATTTAATTAATTAATTAATTAATAATAAGTAAATAATTAATGGTGTGTTCGAAATATAAATATTTATTTAACATATATAAATAGATATTGATATATGCTTTGAATAGTAAAGTTAATGTAATTTAGACTTTTAGGGTGTGTTTGTTAGGGATATTTTCCCCAAATTTTATTATTTATTCAATTTTTTTCAAAAAAATATCGAATTAAACATCTATTTTTTTATATTATACTAAAAATCAATTTTACATTTCAAAACATCGTATTAACACCTATTTATATCACATCAAAATACTACTTAAATAAAAATTCAAATTAACATTCAATTTCAAACAACAAATCTTAAAATTGATTGACAAATAAGAGTTATTAATTTAACCACTATTTGTGGCGGTGGTACAGCTAATTTTGCGCGACGTACAAGCAATAATAGCAAGGAGATATTACTATGAGATTAAAATTTAATTATTACCATTCCAGAAGCTGTAGAACCCCAAAAACTCCATCTATACATTGAAAAAAAAAATAAAAAAATGGCAATTAATCTGAGAAAGAATTAAAATGTAATAAAATCTAAATATTTATATATAAGAATAGATTAAATTAATATGATTATGTACGTACCTGCCAATGATGTGTGACAATATTTTGGACAAATGCTTGATTTTCGTATGATAATTTGGATGCCATAATAGCTAATGAAGCATACTTATTATTATTTTTATTTTCTGTATGATGTTTTTGGAAATTCAAATCCAAATCGAATCTCTTGTCAAGATTTCCAATAATTGATGTGAATGTTTCTGATGATCTTTCTGGCCTCACCAATCTCCCTATATCATAATAAATTATGAGTAATATATCAAAATATACATTAATCTTAAACGATAAGTATATATATCTATATATATATATATATATATTGAATTATGGAAGCTCAAATACACTATTCTATTCAAACGGAATAATCGAATTTGGAAAATAATACCCAAACACGTCACTAATAAACAAGAAAAAAAACCAACGGCAATTACGTAAAGTAACAAACTAACATGCATGCACGTAAAATAAAAAACAAATAATCCAAAAGCTAAATCAAAAATCAAAAATAAAAATAAAATTCCGGCCACGTACCGGCGAAAAAATTAAACAGCAGGCGGCAAAAACCCCCGTTGGCCGGCGGATAATTAAGGCCGAGCTCGACGGCATTCCCGACGGCGGCCATCGGCGTTTTCAAGCGGATAAGAATTTTTTGTAAGAAAACGGATACGAGGAGAATCCATCTCTGTCGAAACCCGACAATCAACTCTCCTTCGTCGAACGAAGAACTGAAAAAATCCCTTTTTCCGAAGTCCCGTGAGCTCAAGATCCGGACAAGATCGAAGCCGGTGGCGTCTTCCGGCTTGAGCACGAGATAATTCTCGGAAAAATCTCGATTCTTGGCCATGGCAGTAAGGAACGATCCGACCCGTTACATGCAACATGAGATATAAATAAATAAAATTTAAAAAATGGGGAGGTTAATTGCATGATAAGAAAGCTAGATTACAAAAGGAGGGTTTAATTTAATGAAGAATTTTATTATGATAATGAAGGGTTGATGGAGATGGATTTGGTATGTGTGTATTTCAAGAATGTTTTGTTTATTTTATTTTATTTTATATATATATATATATTCTGAACTAGGTGACGTATTTGATTAATGATACTGTATTTAAGATAATAAAATTTAGCTAATTAATAATAGTAAATTATTATATTATTTATTACTTTTGATGTGAGTAGTATTGTTGGTATTTTTAAAATAAAATTTAATATATAATTTAAAAAACTTAAAATATTATGTGTTTAAATATTTTGAATATTATATTTCAATAAAATATATATATATTATGAATATCATTTTATAAAAAATAATATTTTATATAATTCATATAAATACAAATACAAATACTTATTTATTTATTTGTGATTAACATAAATTAAATTTATGAAAAATAAAGAGTTCTAAATATTACATTTCTTTATTAAGAAGAAATATAAAAATAAAAGAATTTTGTAGATGTTAAGAATATAATTAAATTTATTTATATTGTTAAATATATTTAAAAGTGATAAATTTACAAACAATAGTAACATATTGTTTTTCCATTTTTGTCCGTCCCAAAACAATTGTCTTGTTTTTTTATTTAGTAACTGTAATCCCCACTTTATAACAAAATTATTCATATTTTTCCAAACTACCCCTAATTATTACTCTAATCTACTTTTTAAAATTTTTCAAAAATAAAGGCATTTTAGTCTGTTACATTATATTTTATATCCATTTTGAATTAAATATTATTATTCATTAATTTTGGTGCCAAAACTCAATAACATTGACTCTTTGGGACGGAGGGAGTATTAACTATTAATAGACTCAAAGGAAAACGTGTCAAACTACTGTGAAATTAAGAGAGTAATTTTTACTATTTTTGTTTCTAATCAAATTCATAGAGCCTCGATTATTTATAGAGTGAATAGATCTCCCTTTTCCTTTTTTACCCCTATCACACCATATCTATAATTTTTTTTATAAAAATATACTCTCTCCATTTCACTTACCATGTCCATGTTGCCGTTTCTGTCCGTCTTACATCTCATGTCACTTTTACTTTTTTGGAAAAATGATTACCGATTTTAATCTTATTTTAAATTTTCATAATTTATTTTTTTTAATTTTAATTAAATTAATTAATTATCTCAATCTTAATCTATAATAATTTATATTATAGGTTAATAATTTTTACTAATATATTTTTAATTATCTATTAATTATATTTATCTTAAATTCTTGTGTACCAAGACACCCAATGTGGAACGGAGGGAGTATTATTTGATTTCGTAAACATTACATTAAATAATTGTTCAAGACACAAAGAAGCAAATATGAAATAAAAATACAAAGGAAAAGTAACTATAGTAGTTTTTCCGTGGGGTTTATTACATCCTTTTTGCTTTTCTGATGTTGCCTTTGTCAGTTTTTTATTTGCTGACATCTTTACTTTAATTAGTGGCATGGTATATGTCATATATATAATATATATATATATATATTGGGATTTCTTTTGTATTTTAATTTTGTAATTCTCTTAAAAATAATTTAATAAGTTAATGTAATATTTTGTATAAAATCGAGATATTACAAATAATATATTTTAAATAAAAAACGTATCAAAAGGATGTTTTGGATTATATTTGAAGTTTGGTTTTAATTTTCTTTTGTTATGCAATTAATTCTTTATAAAGATATAAATACTTCCTTTTATAAAATAAACCATAAGAAATAAATCCGAAAGTGCAAACTAATTAGGATTTGTTGGTTTAGTGTTATGTATAGATAGGGTTTAGCATGAGCATGAGCAAATTATTATTATTTATATATAATATATAATGAAAATTATATAAAGTAAAAAACATCCGAACTTTTGATTTTATGAGTATATAAATAAGTATATTTGAATTATTAAATTAAATATTTGTAATATTCCCTCCGTCTCTGCTACACTGTAGATACTGTATTTTAGGAGGGGTGTAATGAGTAGATAATTAAGAATATATTAGTGAAAATAATTATTCTATAATATAAATAATTATAAAACACTGTAGATACTGTATTTTAAGAGGGGTGTAATGAGTAGATAATTAAGAATATATTAGTGAAAATAATTATTCTATAATATAAATAATTATAAATTAAAATTAAGATAATTAATTAGTTTAATTAAAATTAAAAAAAATTAAAAAATTTAAAATGAGATTAAAATTAAGATAGCTAATTAGTTTAATTAAAATTAAAAAAATTAAAAAATTTAAAATGATATTAAAATGTGTAATCATTTTCCAAAAAAGAAAAATAACATTGAATATGGGACGGACAACAACGTGAATATGATATGTGGGACGAAGAGAGTAATATATATTTTTTTATTGGATGTATTGTATACTGAATTTGTAATATCTGTTAATATATAGGAAAACAATGAAACTATATATATATAAATATATAAAAGAAGTTGTCATGCAAAATATAAAATAAATAAATTATATAGTATGTCATACTGCCCCTTGAATAATACTCCATAATAATAATAATAGTACTATAATTTATTTTTTGTCGAAATAATATTATTTTTCTTCTAAAATTAGCGTTATATCGTCATATATATACATATTAATATATTACCATAAATATAAATATATATATATATTACAATATATATTAATACCATAAATATAGATATATAAATATTACAATATATATCATCATCCCTTCAAACTCAAGGTGAGAGTGTGGAAATCAGCTTGAGTTTGCTTAAGAACAACTGAAAGCGGCCGGGTAAATGAGGCTTGGTGAAGCCATCGGCAGTCTGATCAGCAAAAGAAGTGTAGGACAAGGAGACGTTGTCGTTAGCAACGTGATGACGGACAAGGTGACAATCGATCTCAATGTGTTTCGTACGCTCGTGAAAAATATCATTCGTCGAAATCTTCATGGCACTCTAACTGTTACAATGAATAGTGGTAGCAGAGGGTTGAGACACACCGAGATCAGCAAGTAGCCATGGAAGCTCGGCAGTGGTATCCACAAGAGCTCGATACGCAGACTCTACACTGGATCGGGAGACGACCGTCTGTTTTTTGTTGCGTCAAGAAATAAGCGAATCACCGAGAAAGAAACAAAAGCCAGTGGTCGAGCGACGATCGGTGGGATCTCCCGCCAATCAACATCAGAGTACCCAGTTAAAACCAAGGACGAGCAAGCTGAATAATGGAGACCATGGAGGAAAGTGCCTTTGACATACCCAAGAATCCGCAGAACAGTAAAGTAATACCTCATCCGAGGAGCGGACATGAACTAACTGATGATATGAACAACATAGACAACGTCAGGTCGAGTAACAGTCAGATATATTAGGCTTCCCACCAGCTGACGATATAAGGTAGGATCGTCAAGAGGGGCATCATCCATCGGAGTAAGGCGACAATCAGACTCAAGAGGCATAGGCACAGTCTTAAAGTCAGTGAAATCTGCTATAGATAGAAGGTTGGGGGAATACTTAGCTTAAGAAAGATAGTACCCGTCGGAGGTATCAGAGATCTCAAGACCGAGAAAGTACCGAAGAGGCCCCAAGCTCTTTATTTTAAAGTGGCTGTGGAGATGATCTTGTAGTTTAGAGATGCCGGACTGATCATCTCTTGTGATGATCATGTCATCCACATAAAGTAACAGAATAGTAACACCAGTAGACCCGCGTCGAGTGAATAAAACAGAGTCATGATAGCTGGAAGTAAATCCAAGCTGGAGCAGAGCAGAGCTAAATTTCAAAAACCAAGCTCGGGGTGCCTATTTCATACAGTATAGAGCACGACAAAGTTTACATACCTTGGAGGACGTAGGAAAACCAGGAGGATGAGACATGTAGATGTCCTTGGATAGATCACCATGCAGGAATGCATTCTTTACATCGAGTTGATGTAGGGGCCACTGACAAGCGGTAGTGATAGCTATAAAACAACGGATGGAGGTGAAACGAGCAACGGGGGCAAAGGTCTCATCATAGTCGAAACCGTACTCCTGAGTGTAGCCTTTAGCTACCAAAGGAGCCTTGTAGCGCTCTATGGATCCATTAGAGTGTGTTTTGATCCGAAATACCCACTTATAGCCGATAGGTTTCTTGCCTCGAGGAAGATCAACCATATCCCACGTGTGGGTTTTTTCCAAAGCCTGTAACTCCTCAGATATAGCCTTCCGCCACAACGGGTCTGCATACACCTCATGAAATGAACTAGGCTTATGGTGGGACAAGGTGGCAGAGAAGTAGTGATAATCGAGTAAGTGAGTAGGGAGATGACCAACCCGAGTGGAACAGCGAGGGCCAGGATCAAGGTCCGAGGTCAAAGTAGTGTCAGGATCTAGTGGTGGTAACGGATCAGAGTTGGGAGTAGTGGTGGGCTCGGGGATTGGCGTCGGCTCAGGAGGCGCAACCGGGAGAGCATCAAGAGCAGAGGACGGAGCTGCGTCGTCGGAAATAAATAGAGGTGGAGAGGACAAGGTAAAGAACGGAGACGAACGATCAAAGGGAACTCGAAAGTGGGACAAGGTAAAGAACTTGGTATTCTCCTAAAATGTGACATGACGAGAATTACGTAACCTATTGGAAATAGGATCCCAATAACGATAACCCTTATGCTCTAAGTATCCCAGGAAGCAACACAGATGCGCATGAGGTTCTAACTTGGTGTGCTCAGGAGAAGGGAGGCAACGAAATAGACACAACCAAAGGGGCGGAAAAGACTATAATCAGGGGCTCGATTAAATAGTCTTTTAAATGGACTAACATTACCCATGACAGAGGAAGGGACACGATTTATAGTATAGACAGCAGTAAGTGCGGCTTCCCCCCA